CATACTTCGAAATGGCTTTTTCCTCAATTCATTTGACGATGGCACAGAAGGAAAACCCTATTGTAGCAAATTTTGGAAATTTCTCTTTGACTAAAAAAAGATGAACTGTACTATTGTTGAAAAAGAAATGCAGAAGGAGCACTTCTTTGTATGCTTTTATATTATTTTGAGTAAACCCTATCCAAGACTTCCTATGTCGTCGTTCTTTTGTTGATCCTGAGAGGTTCAATTCTCTCTGCTTTCGAACTATTTTGCTTTGGATTACTAGAGTGGACAGAACAATAGGGGATAATTGCTTTCAACTTTAGCTTGTTTGTTTCCAGAAGAAATTAGTTGATTTGACCCATTTTCAGAAGATTGCAGAGAAGGGGCTTGAGCCTCTTAAAGAAAATTGTGTAGTTAGCAGAGTTCTTAATCTCTTCACTTCCTTATCTTATTTTGCTTTTCCTGTTCTTAACTACTCTTTGTAGACTTCTTAACATTAATCGTTTTGCATTTTCTTCCCCAAAAAAAATAGTGTTCTATCTTAAACATAGAAGCAAGTTAGAACATTTATTTTCATATTAAACATAAAACCTTAATTTATCTTGTCTTTCAAAATTTATAATTTTTCTTAAAATATTAATATTGATTATACATATTAAAAAACTCATATCAAGACGTAGTTTTAATATAAATAATTAAAGAGAATATTTTATAAAGATTAATATATAATTTTGTTACAATTAATTTTATTTTGATTAGGAAAAATCATTTGGAGGTACTTATACTTTCTCTAAATTTTTAATATGGTATCTATGTGTTTTTTCCCTTAATTAAAGCATTTAATTTTTTTTTTCTGTTAATACCATTAGCCCTTTGCAACTTTGCTCTATCAGCCCTCAGCCTCGGCATACTATACAAGTGCTAATAGAACAGAAATAAATATTTAATTTTTCAGAAGAAAACACAGGTAGAAAATTAAAAACTAAGAAAAAGTATAACTATCTAAAATTGATCTTGGATTTTGATTATGTAGTTCCTGCGTTAAATTGAAAAGCAAATCAATAGACAAAGAGCAATAGGTATTGGTTGTCTTTGGTCCTGTCATTTTCTGTCAAAATCCGTGGCTGTATCTCATTTTGTTTCGAGGACAATGTCCTTCGCCAACTGGGAATCATTTTCCTTTTGTTCATCTCTTTTAGGTACTGTATGTTTCCATTCATCTCTGGCCTTTGGTTTTTAACAGCGAAGCCTAAAGAAAAGAAACTTTAGCCCTGTGACTTGGAAAGAAAGTCTAGCCTCTAGGTCTAATAATGAAACCAAAAGACGTTTGTTTTACTATTGATTCTCCTTTCCATGGATAAATAGGAGAAAGAAAATCGTTTATTTTAAATAACCAAAAACAATAATGATGACAACTATCTTATTTTACTAAATAGAGGGGGTTATATGAATTACATTACTTTCTATAAAGCTTCTTCTTCATTAGGGGGGATTTAACTCCCCCAAAGCTGCTTCTTCTTCTTCTTCTTTTAAATTTTGAGTAGGTAGGTTGGGATTTGAATCTTATTAAAGGCCATCGGCAAGTTGCTAGCATGCCACTGCATCACAGAGGTGTTGGCTATTAGCATAGGAAGAAAACGCATGCTTTTAGAAAAGATCATGTAAAGATTGAGGTACATGGTTCAATGGTTCAATGCTGGGTACTGATAGGAGAGGGTCATTTGTGACATGGATGTCTATAAATGGATTTATAATTATAGCTACAAACTTAAGACAATTTCTCATCTGTTGTTGAATTAATTAGGATCATACATGAGCCCAATTTGTGTTTGTAAAGATTTTAAGAAGACATATATCTTTTCAAATTGTACAGAAGTAGCTATAACTTACTACCTCCGGTCTTTAATATAAGACCCTATTTGACTTTTATTTTGGTCCTAAATACAATACCCCAATTCACTTTATTTCTCATATTTATACATTCTTTTCCAAAGTAGCCTTTCTAACAATGATAGTTCTAGTCAATATACTTGATTAGCAATGATATTTTAGGAAAGATAACACCTATTTAGGATAAATAACTAACTCAACTTACTTCCTTAATCTCCTCAAATTAGTCAATTAGTTCTTGTAATTAGGACTTGAGGTAGTACTAACTAGAGATTGTGATAGTGGTTACCTTTATAGAAACATTACTTAGGTAAGAAGCTAGTGATGTTTTTGACGATTGGATTCTAGCCATCTAAAGTGCAACATTCTACCACTTTTTCTAGCAGTACAACACTTTTATTGCTCTCCCACGCTTTGTTTTTAGGGAAAATTACACTCAGGTCTCACAGAGCACAATTACTATCAAAAAGGTCCCTCAAAATTGCAAAATTATTCTGAAGTCCCCAGGGACCTGTGTGTAATTAATTCTAATTGTGAAATTACGTAGTTACCCCTGTTAATTTGAACCTATTTACAACCTCAACAGTGGCTATTAACAACCCGAGAAAAGGTGGTTAACAACCTCAACAACGCCCCTGGCATTCCACAAAGTGAATTGTCATCAGCACTGCCGAGGTTGTCAATCACGTCTTCTCAGGTTGTTAACAACCACTGTTGAGATTGTAAACGAATTACTGCAATAAAATTAGAACCTATTTACAACCTCAACAATGACTGTTAACAACCCGAGAAGAGGTGGTTAACAATCTCAACAACGCCCTTGGCATTCCACAGAGTGAGTTGTCATGAGCACTGCTGAGGTTGTCAATCACGTCTTCTCGGGTTGTTAACAGCCACTGTTGAGATTGTAAATAAATTGCTGCAATAAAATTAACAGGGGTAAGTAAGTAATTTCACAATTAGAATTAATTACACACAGGTCCCTGGGGACTTCAGAATCATTTTGCAATTTTAAGGGACCTTTTTTATATTAATTGTTTTCTGTGGGACCTGAGTGTAATTTTCCCTTGTTTTTACGGTTTAGGTTACTCTCATTTCGCTCTCCGCTACAACATTAATTGCTTTTTTTTTTTTTGGGTACTAAGATGTTCGTTTGCTATGTTGTCCCTGCCCATGGATTCAACAACAGTTCAGATGAAGCTAGATTAATTGTCCGTAAAAATTATCTAGTGCTACTTAACCATGTGCGTAGTGAAGTTATCACTTTTGCTGGCAATTTAGCTCAGCTAAACCTTTTTTTTTTTTTTTAATGATAGGTAAACATTTGTTTCTTCAATCGACCTTCACTTTTTTTGGGGGAGCTGGAAGTTGCAGAGGCAAGTCAACTTTTACTTTTCTTTTTGTTAAATAGACCAAATTAAGCTTTAAGGTGATCAACTTTTTAAGTATCCAAGTGTCCAAGACACCTCAATTGTAATTTTTTTTTTGGTAAATATTGTTTTATTCCTAAATATAAGATTTATTTTGTAGTGTACTTTACACTATAAAATGGGTCTTATATTTAGAATTAGAAGAGTAATAAATAAGCAATTGTGATTCTATAATTGTGTACACTCACCTCTTTCTTCTTCTCTAAGTGTATACTCCCTCCGTTCCTTATTATAAGAGACAAATAACCGAAGTACGTTGATAAAAAAAACAGTTAAAGTTAGTTAAGAACAATTAATGTATAAAAAGTATAATTTTTTTTCCAAAAATGCCCTCATTAATAAGGAAAGAGAGCATGAGAGAGAACAATTAAATTATTAAAAGAAAGAGAAGTGGAAGGGAAAGAGAGTGTGAGTTGGAGATAATAAATATGGGTAAAATAGTAAATCAACACAAAAAAGTAGAGACAACTTGTAAGTGTCTCTTATATATAAAAACATGACATAAGCATCAAGTGTCTCTTATAATAAGGAACGGAGGGAGTATCTTCTAAAGTGATGTGTAATTAAAAGAGTACTGTGTGATTGTCAATTAAGAACTTTAGCTATCGGTTGACATCTAAAAAAGTTAATTGACCAATATACGATGGTTCTCATAAAAAAAAAATATTTGTAGAATTTCCAACTTATATTTTGTTGTCCAGTTTAAAAATCACAAAAGATGGAAAACATGCATGCAAATTGAAATTTTGGAAGTTTAGTTGAAATTATTTTCAATTTTACATTATTCTTTTCATATTCATTTTTAATTTTAAAGATATTGAAAATGAAGTTGAATATTCTCATAGCCGAGTTGAATTTTGGTTCCATGACCAAAATTCACAGCTCCTTTTCCTCTTGATCTCACTCTTGATTTTGTTTATATTGAGCTTGTTTAGACTTGCCATTTATAAACACTTACAAATACTTTCACATAAGTAGAGATAAGTATATGGGTTTAAAAATTTGGATCATCTCCTCATTTTTTCCTCTTTCTCCTTACTTCATCCCTACTATTAAATGAAAAAAATATTTGGTTCAAATTCAATATTTTTCTAAAATTATTTTTTTTATTTCAAGTTGTTTATGATTGTGAACGGTTGAAGTTAAATTATCAAAGATTAAATTTATTTACTAGCTCCTGTCTCTAATATAAAAGTTCGTTTGACTTTTATTTTAGTCTTAAATATAATACCTCAATCCATTTTGTCTCTTATATTTATTTATCTTTTTCAAAGTAATCATTGTAATAATTGTAGTTCTAACCAATAAACTTGATTAGTAAAGATATTTTAAAAAAGACAATACATATTTATTATAAATAACTAACTTAATTAGCTTTCTTAATCTATTCAAATTAGTCAACTAGTTCTTATATTTAGGATCGGAGGTAGTATTTATTTTTTATGTAACATTATAATCATGAGTCAATAAATTATTAAATTTTAATCGTTCATTTGAAAATCCAAGGGCAGGGATAAAAAGAAAAGGCAGAAAAAGAATGAAAAAAGGATCCAAATGCTATAAGACTATAAGTTACGGGCCAGAAAGAATAAGTTTAAATTAGATTGAAATAGGATCCGGCGGAATACCCGACTCCGAATTCAAACCCAACCCCAATCCCTCCGCCCACCGCTCCGTACTATCCACGCTACGCGGCTTAGCGTTGCGCAATCGCAGCCGTGCCCCTCCCCTATAAAACCACCCACATTCCTTTGCTGTTTTCCCTCCATCCCTTTTCGCACCACTGTGATTCAGCTTACTTCTCTCCCCTTGCTATTTCTTTCTCTCTCACATTCTCCGTTTAGGTTTCTCGTCCGTGTTCACTCTGGTCCCATCTTTTCAAAATGACGACTTTCGGGGCCCCAAACACTAATCCGAACAAATCTTTCGAGGTACGTTGATCAAACCTCCTGAACTTACGGAGTCAGTTTCTCGTGTTTCTGAGGTGCCATGAAGTGTATTCAAATTTCAAAGCTCCACTAGTCTGCTTCTTCGGTTCTTATTTTTTAAACTAAACTAGATATATTTAACCGCTGCTTGTATTGGTCGAGAGTATTTAAGAAGGAATTGCAGCCGAGATTATTGAATTGTTGATTCTGGGGTCTAGGCTTATCCTGCATGAGAGAGGCATTCTGTGATTGTCTTACTGTGAATTTTTTTTTTTTGGGTGATTTATTAAGTACTGCCTCCTCCTGTTCTTAATATAATACAAGAGCTAGTTGAATAATTTAAAAAGATTAAAAAAATTAATTAAGTTAGTTATTTGTTATAAATAGGTGTTGTATTTCTTAAAATACCTTGTTAATTAATTATGCATATTAGTTATAATTATGATTTGATGAAACCTTTAACATGCATAACTATTGCAACTACTGGAAGGATTACTTTGAAGAAAATGAATAAATATGAAAGGCAAAACAGATTAGTGTATTATATTTCGGATCAAATTGAAAGTTAAACAAGTTCTTATAATAAAGAAGGGAGGTAATATTTATTATTCTACAACAGTGATGATTTATATGAAAAATGCAATTTTCAGGTGACGCAGCCACCTGGTGATTCTGTTTCAAGTCTTGTTTTCAGTCCCAAGGCCAATTTCCTTGTGTCTACATCATGGGATAACCAGGTTTGCCGTGTCTGACTTTGTTTCCATGATTTGCATTGTATTCATGAGTTGATTAGAAGTGTGAAGGAAGGATGAATGACTAATATAAGATGGGAGCTCCTGCCATTCTCCTAGAATATGTTCTGTTTCATCATCTTTCACTCTTTATGCCTATTCATGCATTAACTATCTTGTAGGTACGATGTTGGGAGATAGTGAAGAATGGAACTGCAGTAAGCAGTACACCCAAGGCGTCAATAGCTCATGATCAACCGGTAATCTACCTGAATGAATACATAAATTGTTGTTTACGCCTGGACCTGCACTGGCCAGATTTCTTTTGACATAATACTTGCTTCCTTCCTATTGAAGGTTTTATGCTCTGCATGGAAGGACGATGGAACGACTGTTTTTTCTGGAGGATGCGACAAGCAGGTCAAAATGTGGCCTCTTTTGTCTGGTGGGCAACCAGTGCCTGTTGCCATGCATGATGGTCCTATTAAAGAGATCGCCTGGATCCCAGAGATGAATCTTTTAGCCACAGGAAGTTGGGACAAGACCCTGAAGTCTGTAATTTATTTTTCCCCCTCTTTATTTACGTTATTAAAAAGTTCTATTTATATGTTTGTCAGCTTTACCATTGCTGGTTAGTCGAAATTCTGATTATGAATTGTGATGGATTATATTTGCGATTTTCATATGTATATGATTTTAGACCCAATGCATCTTAGGATTATCTTAGAAAGCTGATTTAATAGTATAACAACAATTACGTAATGCCATAATGCAAGGGCTATAACCTGCAAGTATTGCACAGGAAAACATAACACATTGGATTATTATGGCTGTGTCAGCATCGTAGAAACTACATCCGGTTGGGCCACTCATTTCCATTTACCTTTGGGAATGAAGGCCCCCATTCTGATATAGGGTATTGTGTTTACAGGAATTAATAGACACTTAGACAGCATGATACATGGATCTGCATCTACATTGTATTCTTTGCAAACATTATTCTGCATCTGCATTATTTCATCTGAAATTGATGAGCGGTGGCTTACAGTTGGGCCGTTTCCTTTTGTTTTTCTCTCTTATGATTTCATGCGAGTCTGATCATGAACTTCCTTGTTACTTTAGGATAGTGTATTTATGCCTTTGGTCTCTCATGGCAAATTTTAGGATTTTTGTTTAGAAAGAATGCATCTTCTATGGTGTTAACTGCCCTAAATGCTTCTGGCTGTCTAATCACATTGTGCATTCCTTGCCTTCTTTTAGGTATTGGGATTCTAGGCAGTCAAATCCTGTGCATACTCAACAACTTCCTGATCGCTGCTATGCAATGACTGTAAAATATCCGCTTATGGTTGTGGGAACTGCAGACAGAAATCTGGTGGTATTCAATTTGCAGAATCCTCAGGTAATATTCTATGCTTTCTATGATAGTATTTTGTAGTATTTTTGTTGGTTTTAAGTGAAAAGCTTTGATGTTGACTTGCAGCATAAAATATGTTTATATTCAGGAGGTGAAATTTTCAACTAAGAATTTCTTTGAGTATCCAATCAGTGTCAATACATATAATCTATAGGATGCCACACTATTTATCGGTCAAGAACAATATTTGCAATGCATGGGACCCACATCTAGTTTGAGTAATATTAACTGTTGCATAATTTTTATAATTATGAGAAATGTGCGTTGAATGATGTTATATTCCTCTGTCAATACTTAAGATCCGACTAAATTGTCAATGTGTCTAAACTGATCAGGTCCTCATTTACTGTAGCCACGGTTGTTTTCATTAAGGTTGATTATATATTTGCTAGGAACCTTTGTCTTTATGTAAATTTAGTGAAATAACATATATGTGGTTTATTGTTTGTTTTTGTTTTTGATAAAAAATAAAATCTAGTTGTATTTTACCTTCTCTATTGATTCTGGTTTTCTGTAGTTTCCAGAAGAAGTAATTATTGGGCAGTGATTCCTATTATCTGAACATCAACTAACTTGATAAATATCAATATAATGTTTGCTTTCAAATCAATGTTCAAATTTCTGCAGACTGAGTACAAAAGAATCCAATCACCTTTGAGGTATCAGACAAGATGTGTTGCTGCTTTTCCGGATCAGCAAGGTTTTTTGGTATGTGTTGATTTGTATTTACTTTCAGATAGAGCAAACTGTGCTGCAGAATTTCAGTCTTTGTTTCCATTTGGCATTTAGACATCTGGATAATAACTGCAACATTTTCCCAGAGGATTTTGAATTGATTCGTTAGATGAAAGTGTAAGGGCCAGATCTATTGAGACGAGGAGATTCAATTTAATGGAGAGCTTGGTTTGAATTTTATTCCCATGCCTTTCTTTGCCGCATTTAAATTTGTGTCTGACATTAAACATTACAAACCCTGGCTGGCCCTTCAATTTCAACATTATCCTTTTTTGCGTTGTAGTTATATGCTTTGTTGTTTTCCTGGTATTAATGTTGGTACCGGTTAAATCTCCATTTGCTGAAAACATAACTTCTAGTTCTTCCATGATTTCATGTTGGCATGAATGGGTATTGACTTACTCTTTCTCTGTAGGTTGGCTCAATAGAGGGAAGGGTTGGAGTACATCACCTGGATGAAGCACAACACAACAAGAACTTTACTTTCAAATGCCACAGAGAGAATAATGAGATATACTCAGTCAACTCTTTGAATTTCCATCCAGTAATACTATGATAATTTTCGCCATTAATGATGTTAATTTGATGATTAGTAACTTATATCTTATTCAGCTGAAAAAAACTTATTTAATATCTGTGTGCAGGTACATCACACTTTCGCGACTGCTGGATCTGATGGCGCTTTTAATTTTTGGGACAAGGACAGTAAACAGAGACTCAAGGTTTCTCTCCTTAAGTCTAAGATCGTCCTTCTCATGCCACTTTCTTGCTGAAATTGAGCTCTATAGAGTTCCAAATGACACATTGGTTATATCCATATGATTTTTTTTTTTTATCTGACTTTTGAGTACAAGATTTTGTAGATGCATTTAATAGTCAGGGTCGTCCTGTTTTTGCGTCACAACTCTGAACAAATATGTGCAACCACTTTAAAGATATTATTGTAGTTATTTTCCTTTTCTTGCTAATATTATGGTGTAGCTAAGCTTAGAATCCAACCCTTACAGGGTGCAGTTGAAGATTGAATCATTTTATAATGGAATTTATATGTTTTTGTTTACTTTGGTGTTCACATTTCTTCAGTGTTGATCATGTCTCACTATCTTGAGGATATTGGACAGTCCTCTATCAACCTATCTAGTTATATTACTGGAGTATTTGGTACGTTCTTACTGCTGTTATTTTGCTTGTAATACGTTACTGTGTTTGCAGGCCATGCAAAGGTGTAGTCTGCCCATACCATGCAGTGCATTTAATAATGATGGTTCCATATTTGCTTATGCGGTATGTATTATTTCAATGTTTTAGCCAATTGTAGAGACCTATGTTTACTTATTTTGGTTATTTTGAAGCGTAGCCATTCTTGTGCATGCACGTCTAAAAATGCATGTGTAGCACCTATCAAGTGTTCGAGTATCTAATCTGCTGTAATTTATTTATTACGTGTGGCATTAAATATTACTGTGAAAATTTATGCATTCTGGGTTTATATTTTCTAGATATATTTAAGTATTATGGGTGTGTTTTCAAGTTTTTGACTGCTGCAAATTTGTGTGTGGTTCTATTTTCTGAATGCACATGCGTTTCTCTCCTTGTATTATTTAAATGCTTGGAGGAGACTAGGTGAGAGTAAGATAATATGTTGTTTCCTAGCTTAGGTACTTACATATTTAATTACCTTGAATGTATTTGGATTTGTAAATTGCGTGTTCACAGTATAAAAATTCTCACACACAAGACACACATATTTCTGCCAACAGATTTTTCATTCTGTTGAAAGTAATGATGTCTGTAGAGTAAAAAGTTACAATAATTGAAAATTGAAAATGCAAGATTGATAAATTTAAATATTCAATTATTTGGTTGATTATTATATCTTTTAGAAATTAGAATTCGAGTTTAATGTGAGAGAAAATAGAAGATGTGATTTGAGCTGCTTAAATCTCCTCTTGCTACTCAGGTTAGATGTTTGGGCTAACATATCATGCTTATATAATGAGGATTGCCATTGTTTCTCAATCCAGCAAGGCAAAATAATTGCAGCTTTTGCTCTCCACGAGCCCCCCTCTCAAAACTCACTGCTAATGTGCCTGTTGTTTTACGGGATTTGTCCTTTCCATTTCATTCCTGATTACTTTCGAAATCTTATGCATGGCTGTAGGTATGTTATGATTGGAGCAAGGGTGCAGAAAATCACAATCCAGCAGCAGCAAAGACGCAGATTTACTTGCACTTACCGCAGGTACACTTGTGCACACAGTCACCTATGAAAATTATTACGTTATCTTAATACTCATCTGGGTGAATCACAGCAAGATGAAAAGATTAAATGTTAGTAATTAAAGAATGAAACAGAACAGAAAGGACAATGCTGACTGTTTTTTGCTCGTTGGCATTTGTTTTTGGAAAAGAAAAAGGATTGATCACCTACCTTTTCATTGAATTTCTCAAAATTATTCTATTTTCCTCTTTGTCTAACAGAGCATATTTAAAGCCTTAAAGGGGGGAAATGAGTTAAGCGATGCTGCTTTCTTCTTACCTCGTTATTTTATCATGATACTTATACAAACAAGAGATTGATTAGTAGCTTCCTGTATTGATACTCTCTGTTTAATGTATTCAAATAATTCAAGCAACCTTAACTGCTTTGAAACTTTGTGAACAGGATGCCGAAGTTAAAGCTAAGCCACGAGCTGGAAATGCGGGTAGGAAATGAAGCTCCATGTTAGAAGGCTTTGAAAGTGGGATCAACTTTTGGATGATTTGTTTTAGTGCAAAAGCTAGATTTCCCTTCCTCTAATCCTTTTTACTTTGTGTTTGGTCATCGAAAGAACGTAGAATGAACTCAAAAAAAAAAAAAAAAAAAGAACGAATGTAACTCACACTTTGGGTCCCAGTTTTGGTTAATTTCTTAGGTCTGTCCAGTTTAGCTACGTGATGATTCATGGATTTAATGATTTGAAGGGCATGTACAGAATGATGCCTATTTTGTCAGCTATTCTTGTGAATGGACGATTGATGAATTTTTGGTTTATGAAGTAGACATGCTGGTGGCTTCCCTCTTTATTAGACATACTGAATATCCAAATCGAGCTTATCTTTTCAATTCACATACGTTTCTTTCATCCCAATATAAAATTTCTCTACTCTCACATGGTTTGTATTTGTACTGTCTTTTCTTTTTTGGACAGAGTACAAATATTCTGACCCCATGTGACTCTAACGAACATATTCATCCACAAATCTGATTCAAAAAAAGACAAATAATGGGAAATGAAACACTTAAGCATTCCCACATGGGATTCAAGTTTCAACAAAAAAATGGGATCAACATGCGTTTGTATACATTGCCAATTTTGTTCTTTTTCTTTTTTGTTTTTATTTGGGGGTAGACTTGAATCTACCAAAACATTTATCAAAGCCGTATGGATCTGGCATGCTTGTAACGGTTACTGCTGCTTCAGTTATCAGTAATCTAGTTAGCTAGCAATGAAGAGCTGAATTCTTTTTTGTGGGCGAAGCAGAGTGAAGGCAATGGGTCCCATTCCATTACAGAGAAGTGGAACTTCGTATTTACCATTCTCATTCTGTTTCCCAGAGTTTCACTGAGGTGAAAAATTGCAGAGGATCAGAGCCTTGGGGCCACATGGTTTGAGAGAAAGAAGAGGATGAGGTATGCGTGTGAAACACATGGGCGTCTGATTGTGACTGGTTTGTCAAATAATAATAATACCCCCCTACTTCAAAATATAAGATAAATTCAACGGATTTACGTTTATAAGAAATAAGTTAAAATCAGTTTAAACAATATGTATGTAAGGTATGCTTTTTTTAAATGCCCTTATCAATAAAGAGAACAAGTAAAAAAATACAATAAATGAATTAAAGAGAAAAGAGAATATATAAAGGGTAATATTGAAAAAAACTCATTAGATACTTGGACAAAACTAAAATGCATCTTATAGAAAAAACCAAACCCATCTAACAAAGTTTATCTTATGTTTTGAGTAGGATAAGGTATCTCTCGTAATTGTATGGTTCCTTCTACTAAAGGGAGTGTTTGGTTGACCATAAAAGTAATTTTATGTATATCGAAACAAAACTTATTTCAGATATTTATTTCGTATATCATAAAATCACTTTTAAAATTATCATTTGATTTTTATCTAAACAATTCCCAAGCACTTCTTTAGTCTCATTGCGCCAAAGCTTCTTGAGACTGGAGTCATCCTTATGACCCACAAGATGATAGCACATACATGGCCTACTATACCTCCTAATATTATTTATTAGGACTCTCCTTTTGATCTGTTTTGTGAAAATGATGGTTGAGTATCAGTGAAGAAAGGAACATTTATTGTCACGCCAAATTTAATTCTAAATATAACATTTTAATCTATTTTGTTTTTCATATTTTCTCAAAATATTCTTATAAGGGGTTCCCACCAAAAAAATATTTTCAATAATTTAATACACAGGATTAATGATGATAATTTAAGAAGACAAAAAGATATTTGTGATAAATAACCAACTTAATTAATTTTCTCAATATCAATAAATTAGTTATTTAACTATTATATTAAAAACCGAAAGTAGTATCATATTTGGAGCTTATTTGGGAAACCAATTATTCTCACTTATTTATTTGTTTGCTTTATATAAAGCAAAATCATTTAAAATAAGTTAATTCAACCATTACTCTTAAACTAATTCGGATCAAATCGGAAATACAAAAAGGGCAACAAAGCTTTCCAAACGAGCATTTGACACAGCTGCATACCCAGTAGATCAAGTTAGTACAACTACTAGCTCAATTACGTGATGATTAGTATAAGAACTATAAATTTCGTACTTATGAAAATGATTGCTGCTTCAACTTTATTTATTTATTTTAAAATGATAATTGGAATTGTAAAATCAAGCGTAGTCTTCGGTATTTGTCTTGCCTCAGTATCTGAATGCTGGAATTAGCATAGCTCCACTTTGGAGTCTGTCGTATATATTAAATAAAATAAAATAAAATCCTTCCGTCACGTTTGTTAAGACCCGAAAGGGATCAACATTAACCCTCTGTTTGGATGGGAAGAAAAGTTGAGAGGAAAAAAAAAAGATGATAGAACACGGAGAGAAGAGAAAATTACAGAAAAAATATTATCACCTTTCATGTTTGGATGGACAAGAGAAAACAGAAAGGAAAGAAAATAAGTAAATATATGAATGACTAAGATATTCTTTCTGTTATATCAAAATATATCTTGATTAAAATCAAATTAAATATAATAATAAAAAACCATATTTACATTAACATAATCATATAACTTAAAATCAAATTATTTGATAAAGATATATTATCATGTTATTATATTTTAATATCAAATAATTTTGTAACAAAAGAAAAAAATAACATTCTATGTAATGTAATGCTAAAAAAACCAAAACAACATATCTACTTATTTTTCCTTTCAATTTATTTTATAAAGATTTTTGTAATTTTAGTTATTTTATTTTTCAATCAAGCAAACATAGAAGAAAGACTTGATAATAATAAATAAAGTGAAAAAATAAAAAAATAAAAAGGTATTATTTTGCTAAAAAAAAAATATAAGGGCAGAGAGGAAAAATATGTTTTATTCTTGTTTTCTCTCTGTATATGGAGAGAAAAGTTGGGAGGAAAATAGGCTATAAGACCCACCTCATTTTTTCCTAACTTTTTTTTCTTCTTATTTTTCTTCCCTCATCCAAACAAGGAAAAAAACCATTTCTCTTCTCATTTTTCTTTCTAATTTTGTTTCTTCCCTCATTTTCTCTCCATCCAAACATAGCATAATGTTCGATTTATAATGAATTCAATAAATTCCTTGTTATTTTTCCAAGGAATCGTTATATATTGGGTTAAAAGTAATTTTGCCCTACAATTAAAGTATTCATTGAGGAGCTGTGGGAGTCGGATTTTTTTTTAATTTTTTTTGCTCGATGTGATTTTGGAAGTGTTTTTAAGACACAATATTGCCCTTTTCATGAAAAGAAAACTTTAACCATTAAAAATGTTTCTTAACCCTTATACTATGTCCGAATCTTATTATAAGAGTTTATAACGAATTTGGAAATATTATCAAAATCAATTAAATTAGTTCTTTATAATAAATGTCTCTTAGCTTTCCCAAATTATCACATTTAATCATGAGTATTGGAATTATTTTATGATGGGAACCTCCTTAATATGTACTGTCAATAAGAATGTTTTGAGAAAAGAATTATAAATTTATAAGACAAAGTGAATTGAGATATTATATTTAGGATCAAATCTAACCTTAAGCAGCTTTTATATTAAGGATTGGAGGTAGGTAATATTATATGAAACTATATATATAAATCGAAATGATAGAACAGAAATGCCTAGGTTTTATATAAATCAGTCAGAAGTAGGAAACTTGAAACTTTAATTTGAAATCATTATAGGATAGGGAAAAGAAACATTTGAATAACAGTTAGATGCTAAACAGATTTAAAAAAAAGGTTTTTAAATATCAACTTAAATAGTTGCAAATTTAATTTCAATTCTGAGTTATAAATTGTTTGAAAGTGACGTATATGATTTGAATGTTTGATTTGCAATGAGATTTTTCATATTTGTAATTATTTGAATTATTTAATTTTTTTTAAAAAAGATCAAAACGTAATAATTTTTAAATTGATCTTTTTGAGACTTAGTATCGTTTTCTGAAAAAATTATTTTACATATGACGATACTTGAATTCATTGTGATTGTTCAAAATTCACAAGTAAAGGAAACAAGAGGGGAGGAGGGAATCATATGGAGTTACAATTGATCTCTCTAAGTCATAAAAAAAGATTAGTCCGAATCCTAAATCAAATCATAATTTAGTAGTAAATCAAATAATTAATTTAGTGTTAATCGGTTCATTTTCTTTTTTGAATGATGAATTATTTATATGGACAACTCCGCTAACAATTGAGTTAAAATTGGAGTCATATCCAAATGAAATCCAATTTAATCAGTATTATCACCTATCTAATGGTTGTGGAAAAAAAATTATTATGAGGTTTCAAAGAAGTGATTTAATTATCAAAAAATCCTGATAAGCATAAATCTATTGTTATTTCTTGCATTTTAACATGTTATTGCAAGCTCCTTAGTTATTATCAGACTTTTAAATGATTAAATCCCTTACATGGAACCTTATAGTAATTCTCCATCAAAACAATAATTCAATCTTTTTTTTTTTTTGACAAAAAACAATAACTCAATTTATTAAAGCCGTATTAACCTGAAATTGAATTATTTAAAATTGTATATTAAAAATGATACGGTAAGCAACAATGACAATAAACATTAATGCAAAAGTAAATAAATATTTCTAAGTCAAAACTAAATAAATATTTCTCAGTCATTATTATTGTTTGCAATCAATTTGTTCAAAGATGCATAGTTGTCGTTGTCGCATAGTACATTCTCATTTTCTTCAAAAAATTCTCAGTCATTATTATTGTTTGCAATCAATTTGTTCAAAGATGCATAGTTGTCGTCGTCGCATAGTACATTCTCACTTTCTTCAAAAAATTGTTAAGTTTGAAGAGAATCCAAATCCGTACTATAATGTTGTCAACCAATTCAAATTAATTTGATCCACATGTGGAGTGCTAATTATTAACAGAAGGAATGTTTATTAAGGAAATATGAATTGGCTTTTCACATGCAAAACCAACCTAATATTGGCATAGTTGTTCAACATGTAGGAAAAAAATGAAAAATCATCCAACTTCATAATATGTAACCACACGAAATATGCATACATAAGACCTCCTTAATATAAAAGCTAAATAAATAATTTGAAGAGATTAAAAAAATTAGTTAAATTGATTAATTATAACAAATACATTTGACTTTTTTAAACTACTCTATCTAATCATATGCTTTGAAATTATCCCTTGATGAAACCTATTACAACCAATAGAAATATTTTAGAGAAAACATTATATATAAGTTTAAGAGGCAAAGTAAATTGATATCTTGTATTTATGATTAAATCAAATATCTAGTGAGCTCTTATTTAAAAACTGGATGTAGTATTCAAGTTGTGTTAACGAATGTCCATATGCACCTTACTATTGTTAACAGCTAGTTGCCCTAATGGTGATATGCCACCCACCACACTTAAATGAGATCTTTGAGTCTAATGTTGACATGTTTGGGATGTGTTGTGTTCAAGAGAATCTGCGAGATATATATATATATATATATATATTTATGTGATCAAGACAATGTGAAGATTCTGTGCCTTTATGTGTCATTATCGATGTGTATATATATGTGTGTATGTAAAGATGTGAATGCATGTCTATTGGGTTGTCAATAATTTGTGCCAAAGAGGCTGACTTTGGAAAAACATGATTAGAGCTGTTAATCGTTTGATTAACGTAAACTGATATGATTACATATAATCACTGTATATCGATTATACTTGTTGTCTTGAATGCAAGTTCTGCTTCCCTGTGTGTCACGAGCTTGAAAGATCATTTTAAGTTTAATTTTAATTACAACACCACCATATATGGGCTTCTACGTATTATATAACACTACAAAAAACAAATAGTCCTCTAATCCTTAATATAGGACATAATTATTGGGTTGATCTTAGTCATAAATATAAGACCTATTTTTTCTGTTTATTAGTTTTTCTTAAATTATCCCTATTGATACTCCTTTCAATCAAGAGAGGGAGAAAAGATATTAAAGAAAATAATTATGATGTTTTAAAAAAAATATGTCATATTTTTTATAATAAATTAACCTATCTAACTTACTTAATGTAATCAAATTAATTAAATAGGTATTATATTAAGGACCTAAGAAGTAATAAATTAATGATGGAATATCCGTCGCTAAACTTGATTAAGGACAAAATTTTTTCATTGCTAATTCCACCCTTACTAATTGGTTAATGATGAAATTTTGAATTTTGTCACTAATTAGTAACAAAATTTTAGGCACTAAATGTGTTTTGATGGAATTAGTGTTTCGTCATTAATTCTTTTACCATAAAATTAGCGATATATTAATAATAGAATTTAGTGATAATATAAATTTGTCACTAATTTAGTGACGCAAAAATTCTACTATAACTAAATTAGGTGATGGAATCCATTAATTCCCTTTTTTTTGGGTAATGTACAGATCTATTTATGTGTTTATTTCTTTTTTTAGAGACAGACTATATACACTCTCTCAGTTTCAATTTACAAGACGTTTTTGGTGTAAAATGGGAAGATCAATGAATCTTATGAGATACAATCGAAACCTTATAATATTTCATAATATAATATGTTTTAGTGCATTAATTTTTTCACCTAATATCTCTAAATAATTGTAAATAAACCTTTTAGATAACTAACTAGCCAAACTCCTCTAGTTTAACTAACAATTCATTAATTTATGTAAAATTGTTATTAGGTGTTTAATTATGATAATAACCAAATATAATGGAGTGCAAACTTTCAAAAATGCCTTTATTTAACATTAATTCATAATTAACTCACTTAATTAATGAAGGGTATTTTTGAAACGGAAGAGGATCAGAGATAAACATTTATTTGATGTATCTCTTTTTATGCAAATGAATTCTGAGACTGATATTTATTTCATGTATCTCCTTCTTACAGTAGGGATATTAACGTCAAAAATAACAGCCGAACAACTTACACGTGCATTAGGGATATTCCAAATATGAAAAGCTTGAGGGTTTGTATGCATTAATTAAATTAAAATATACAAAATCTTCTAAACTTTTAGTTAGTTAAGTATAACCTTCCTAACTCCCTTTTTTAATGAAAATTGTATTTCATTAACAATTAAAAAATAAAAAGTAAAGCAAGTTTAAAATATTATGGCTGAGCGAAGTATTTATATATAGTGTCTGATAATATCTTGAATAAAATTATCTTAAATTAAAGGATATCTTCATGTAGGAAAAAAGGAAATTCACCTCTTACCTAATAGGTAAAAGGTAATCAAAGATGCAAAAATTTCTCAACATATTATCAGAGAACTTAACCAATAACATGTGCTCCCTAGTGACATGATTAATCAAGGCCTTTTTAGTTTGTATGAAACAATAATCTACCATCATCTATGATATCTCTAAATGGGTGATTTTGATCACAACTCTTGCTTGACAAATTCATGGCTTCAACATGGTAGAGTTCAAAATAGTATTTATATAACCCCTAGACTATCAAAGATTGAGTCTTTAGATAATCTTTGTCAATTCAGCAATAGCTGGCAGAAATGATAGCTAAAACCTTCTTAACTTTGAAAAGTTTGAATTAAAGACTTTTTCATATTTTAGCTGTCAACTCCTATATATACCCTTAAAATTGCTGTTAAAGTTTGTACTTTTATCATGAATAAGAAAGCTTTTGTATATTTTTATAATATATATATAGGTAATAATCATTATATGAAGGACACACATGTGAGTTACATATTCTGAACTTTGAAAATAATGAATAAGAAATAGATAATTAATTAGAATAAAGATCAAATTTTCCTAGAAGAGAATTTGAACTTGAATTCGGCTTTTGAAGATGATTTTGGTAAACAAAAAAGTGACCCTCACCTTTGCTTGAGTTCATACAGTAAAAAGTGAGTCTTAGTTGTTGTTTTTGTTTTTGTTTGTTTTTTCCCCTCTTTTTTAATTTAAGTAAAATTGGTTGAAATGATAATTAATTAAGTTCCCCATGAGAAAATTCTAATTATTAATGAGTAATACCTAATTATTTCCATAACCCATTACACGGTTTGCTGCAACGTTACTGTTCATTATGGATCAATAGGATTGAGAATCTGCAAAAATATATGTTTAGTGTACAATTATCAAATTTTATAGCTTTTCACCCTTTTTTTTGGCCACCCATTTCACATAATGTTGCTAAAAATGAATCTTAGAAGCCCTTTGTATTCTCTTTTTTTTTTTTGTACAAAAAGGAGCCCTTTTTATTTGCTGTAGTAGAATATGCGGAACAGTGGCAAACCCAAAAGTTTCAAGTTGTGAGAGCATAACACGAGTGTAATTTCGTCATACTGTAAAAGAAAAAAATAGTTTAGACAAAAAGGTAAAAATATCTATAAATAAAATAAAGACGTGGTTTTTCAAAATGTAAATAAAGACATGTAATATATTCCATGAAATATGAATGTAAAATAATCTAAAATAATTGTAAAAAATATAAATGAAAAAAAGTCATATGATGGAAAATAAAATAAGGCTTGATTGTCGCTAAAAAGCCGTTGCCATTGATTTTGGTCTGATTAATTTGATTCTGCCTAATAAACGTGACGCCATTCCATTTTCAATGGAATGGGCGGAGGATTTACTTTACTTTTACATGAAATGAGTAATAATTTACACAAATACTTTTTCCTGTTAACTAGCTATATGCATTTTTTTAGTCTTATTTATAAATCGTTTTCATCATGTTTTATAGAGAAAAAAAAAACTTTACTCACTAATTATGTCAAAATTAAAAATTTAACAGATTTTTTATTTTACCCGTATTTAATACATATGTTTTCAGTAAAATAACAATTTACACTAACAAATGAAAGATAGAATAGTATATTCATGTTAAAAATTTAATTATATAAAAACAACTTATAAATAAAAGCAAAAAAAAAAACTCTTCTCTCTTTCTCGTATAAATAAGATTAGAGAAATATTGATTTGATTACTTGAAAATGAATTACGTGTAATTCTAATACAAATGGTTGATGCAAGAGTTTAGTTAGACTTATGCAATATAAAGAGAGGATAACAATTTTTAACCTTAACTTTAATGCTCTCAGTTCGATAAAAATTAGTCTCAAGTCGAAAGTAATTTGAGGATACTCTAACTTATATCAAAAGAGAAAAAAAAAGAGAGGATTATATTTTGTAACATGGATTAGCATATATAATAAAAATGAGATTATGCGGCTAATCAATATGAATGAGGATGATCACATAAGGAAATTAAATGGTGAGTATTGAATATGCGCGTGGTGTGGACCCCATCTCTGGATTGGAGGATCTATAAATTTCCAATTCAGCTTCTCTTGCTCTCTCCAGCCACCTCCTCTCTCTCTCTCTCTCTCTCTCTCTCAAGTCAAGCACCTTTCTTCAGAGTTCCGAAACGTTTCGCCGGAAGTAAGGATATGGGGAGGCCGCAACAACGGTATCGCGGAGTGCGGCAGAGGCATTGGGGCTCCTGGGTCTCTGAGATTCGTCACCCCATCTTGTACTCTCTCTCTCTCTCTCTCTCTCTCTCGATTTTACTTTTCGATCTCAAGTCTTAATATGATACCAAATGATGCAGGAAGAGGAGAATATGGCTGGGAACATTCGAAACGGCAGAAGATGCAGCCAGAGCTTATGATGAAGCTGCCAGGCTCATGTGTGGGCCTCAGGCCATAACCAATCTCTCTCCTCCTCCTCCTTCTTCCTCCTCTAGCTTTCTCTCTCCATCTCTCACAGCCAAGCTTCTGCAAATGTGCCAGATGGCCTCTCTTTCCCTTCAAATCAACAAGCAGCAACGGCATACACAGACCTCTCTCACTCAATATCCTTCCTCCGCCACCAATGCCGTGTCGTCGCCGGAGAATTTTAAACGGGAGGATGAAGAGGAGGAGGAGGATGAGGAACGGCAGTTTCATCAGCTGCAAGTTCTCGAAGATGATCACATTGAGCAGATGATTGAAGAGCTACTTCATTGTGGCTCATTTGAGCTTTGTGATACTAATACTAATCCTACCATGTAATAATATTTACAAAAATAATTAACTCCTCTGTGTTTCTTATCAATATTAAAACCTGCATTATGGCCCAACAAACATCCTCACAAAATGCTGAACTCCATATACACAGTTCACATCAATTTAATTATAATTACATCTTTATAATTTTTGAAAATTTCCATACACCTAATATATATATATATATATATATATAGATGCTTCTACAGTACTATTTGTAGAATAAGGAAAGGGTATTTTCTTTTTTCCTTTAACACCTCATTAAGTTTATTTCATGAATTTACAATTTTATTCCTAGTTTATTGTTCTTGGACTTCTTAGTTCTTATTTATTTCTTCATATTAAATAGTAGTGAAGGTGGGAAATAAATTAATTTTAAAATAAAGTTAATAAAATTTAAGATTTTTTTTGGTTACATAAAAACATGTTAGAAATATCTTATAAATAATACCAAAAGGGGAGAGAGTATGTGTAAAGTGTAGGTTAGTCTTTTTTCCCCTTACAAATACAACTCATAGAATTTTAGTCATCATAGCATAGTTATAGTGGGCACATTGACGTGTTAAGGTTAAATATAATAATTTACTCTATGTTGAAAATCAGAGAGTAAAAATATTAGAAGTAAGACTTGCTAAAATAGGAAAGTTTTACTATTTTTAAAGTTTTCTTTCATAGTATTTACTCATCTTATTTTTCTCCCACTTTTCCTCCCATCCAAACACATATAAATATAAGATTAATTGAGCATCATAATAGCTATAATTTCCACCCTCTAATTTTGTTTCTCTGGGTAAATTGTGATCAGTTGCCTAAAAATCTACAAAAGTCCAGGATCAATAATAATGCGGGGACCCTCTGTCTCCATTAAAGATAGATATCTCCTTGCCTTTGATTTCTTTATATATAATATTTATTGTCTTTATGTGATAAAAGAAGCTTTGGATTATGTACATATAATGACAAGTAGTTAAACTAAAGACCAGTACAGGGAAAGAGATGAGATTAATCATATAGGTACATTTAATTTGTTACAAAGAATTCAAAAGTGGACATCAACAATGGACAAGCACATTTTTTAGAAGACTCTTAACTAAATTTTTGTTTACAATAATGCCACTCACGAACCTTTACCAAAAACTATAGATGTGTGTGTATGAATATGATACACAATTTTTAATATATCTTCCCAGGTCCAACCAAGTATGTTTTCTATCATGGATCCTCGTGCCAAGTAAAGATGAATCAATCAATTATCAATATTCTCAAATACTACCACTCTTTCTAAATATAAGACCTTAATTTATTTTATTTCTTGAATTTATAATTGCTTTTCTAAAATATTCCTGCTAGTTGCATATAGAAAGGGAGTTCCCATCAAATGGTAGTTATAATGCACATGATTAGAAAGTATGTTATAAGAAAATTGATATATATTTATTACAAATAATTAACTCAACTAATTTTTTCATATCTACAAATTAGTTATTAACTCTTATATATTAAGAACATGAGGTAGTACAAGGTTTATAGTGATTCATATTACTCATAAATTATATATAAACAACACTCTTTTTGTCCTAAATATAGAGGCTAAATAACTAATTTGTACTCCTCTATAGTGTAAATTACACTATAAAATGGGTTTTATATTTAGGACCTGAGAGAGTATAAATTAAAAAAATAGTTAATTTAATTATTTATTAAAAAAATGTATGCTATAGTTTCATTTATTACCCCCATTAGTCGTTTGCAACCATCCCTTGATGAAAATTAACTTGCAATTAATAGGGATTATTTTGAGAACAAATTTAAAAACACAAAGTAAATTAAGCTCTTGCATTTAGAATCAAAACAAATTATTCTACTAGCTCTTATATTTAGGATTGAATTAGTATGACTCATTATTTAGTTTTTTCATGTCATATACAAGAAAACATATCTAGTACCATCTCTAGTTCTTATTATAAGAGTTAGACAACAAATTTGTGAATATTAAAAAAATTAGTTTACTTATTTATAATAAATGTGTGTTGTCTTTCCTAAAATATCTTTATTAATCATAATATGTGTTAAAATGAAAATCCTTTAACATGTACAATCATCATGGGACTATTTTGCCAAAAAAAAAAAAAACAAAATAAATTGGAGTCTTACATTTATAACTAAATTGAATTTCCAATCAACTCTTATATTTTACACCGGAGGTAGTATTGTTTTATTAATTTCACTACCCCGGCTAGCACATTATCATCATAAAGTCACCCTTTCGGCAGTAGTAGGCGCTTCATTCAACGGTAAAGAAAATGAAGGAGAGACAAACACACAAACATACGTATCCAGAAATGACAAATCAAGTTTGCAATATATATATATATATATATATATATGAGTTGTTGATGACTTGCATTAGATGTTGAGCAGGTAAACATTCTTGTTGTCATGTGTGAGTTGCTTTTGGAAGTAGATAAGGGACCAGACACCATCTTTTAATTTGCATCATCTCTTTTTTGAAGTATTAGCCCAGCTTCGATCCTTTTGTCGATTTGCTGCAAAAGCAAAACTTTTGACCTCGCCCATCACTCTTTCATTTTCCCTTACACACATACGCACACTTTCATTCTCACCATCGCACAAAATTTAAACACAGCTTCCTTTGTGGACTTCCTATATATCCTTTCTTGTCATCTACATTATTAACCCTCATCACCCTATACTAGGTTTTTTTTTCTTAATTTTCATGCAAACTTAGTGCATATATATATATAGAGAGAGAGAGAGAGAGAGTTTTGTGCTTTGGTTGTGAACTTTAATGGTGTAGATAGGGTTGGTCGTGCATGCTAGAAATAAAGATGATTATATGTTGTTTGGTTTCATACCCAGAGGGCCCATATGTTCCTTGGCATGCCAATCATCGATCCCAATGTGTCATTGTCTGAGTCTCACAGAGAAAGAGAGAGAGATAAATAAAATAAGTGTCAAACATTGTAGCTGGCAATCACACACACACACACAAGTGCATGTTTCCAGGTACATAAAAACACATAAAGCAGGGAAAACGAACAATCCCGATCGTCTAAAGTTCAGTCCTTTCTATTTTGTCAAATTCTACGCAAAATATATAAGCGATTACGTACTTACTTTGTATTATATATAAATTCTGTCTCTTGTACACACACACACACACACACACACACAAGTATAGCAATGTGAACTCAGAGTTTTGCATGAAACTTTACTCAAGTTTATTCATAGAATCCAGCGTCGACACTATGCTTCGTGGATGTGCGTCTGTGTGTGTGAAAGAGCAAGATATATAAGTGGGTCCTTTTTGCATGTGAAGTGTGTTGGTGTGGTGAAAACTGCGGCTGTTATAATATCATACAATTTCATGCTTAATCATTTATTTTATATACATATATAAAGTTTAAATAAGTTGGGTCCCAGGGACTCAGTAGAGTTAGGACATGCCTTCAAATTCAAAAAACGCTCATAAAGTTATTTACAGATAGCCCACTAACAAGTCATTCATATCAGCAGTGGGATTTGAGTTTACAATTTTATAAATTATGAGCCAACTCGTTAAGAATTAACAATTTGATCAACTTTTGCATGTAGGCTTAATCATTTTATTCTACTACTGCTACTAACACACACTTGCACACTTTGCTTTTGGATTTTAAACGAATGGATAAGGTGGTTGTGGCACAGAAAATTTACTAGTAAAATCTCATGCCCTCATTATTATGAATCTATTTTGGTAATTGATTGTGTCCTCCCACGAGCACAAACTTGAAATCCCTAGTGACACCATGATCATGAAACACACCTTAGCTTGCTCAAAAGTAGTGAAAATAAATACTCCTCGGTCCTTAATATAGGACCTAATTGTTGAGTTGGTTTTGGTCTTAAATATAAGACCCATTTATCATATTTATTAATTTTCTCTAAATTACCCCTATAGATACTCCCTCAACCATAATCAAGTAGAAGAGAGAGGGGGTATTAAGGAAGATGATTATGGTATTTTAGGAAAAACGTGTCACATTTATTATAATTAACTAATTTACCTAACTTCCTTAATATAATCAAATTAGTTAAATGGGTCTTATATTAAGGACCGGAGGAGTACTTGCCTAAACCACAAGGTTGGCACTTAGCTGTATTTCTTAAGCATCTAGTCGTGGGTTCAATTTTTGGTAGTGTATATGGAGAGAATCTTATAGCCAGTACTGAAATCCATTTAAACAATCTATGATGCGAGGGAATTAATCACTGTTATCGGTAGTAGATACCTGGATGTAATAAAAAAAAAAGTTGTCTAGACTCCAAAAAGTTGAGAAATATATATAGGAGGAGAAATTCTACTTGAATATATATATGCATACACACAAACGCACGCGCACTGATTATTGATTGAATCACTACCGCATGGTGGATTTTGAAAAGTTTAAAAAAAAAAAAATTAAATGATCATTACAAATTATCCTATATAAAACAACAAAAACACAACTCGATACCTAAGCTAAATAGCTTAGGTTATTATTATATTATTATTGATGACATGTCTAATTTATACTGTGAAAATACCCACATTTATACTTGAATGTTTTGCTAAAACATGATTATTATGGTTTCTATTTTCTTATTTTTACGTCTATATAAAGCTTACCTGCTTTTCTTATATTATTATTATTGATGACATGACTTATTTTTACATCTATATACCCACATTTATAACAATAGAGCCTGTAGTGCAAGGAATATAACAACTTGGATCCTTCAATTTAGGTTGTAGCTTTTATTGTGAGGGCAACTATAGCAAACTTCTCAAGTCTCTTTTTCCTGAAAACCAGCTCCTTGAGATATTTAGCATAATAAGGCATATTAATTAATTAGCTGAGGCTTCCAACAATGGAACGTTGAATTGAAGATTCTTGAAGATGTCAAGAATAACCTTGGAAAGTTGGTATCTTGTTTTCCCCTTTTGGAGTTGCTTCTGGGAAGGTTATAATTAAGAGGTTGTCATGAGTCTCACATTAAGAAGGTTATCTTGAAAAAAATGATCTTATAAGATTTTGGGTTCTCTAGCTAACTCTAACAGATAGTTTTTGA